TACAGAGCCATCAAAGGCTTCCATTATTTACAATTAATTTACAATTATTTTCAGTTTATTTCCTGTAGAAATTACATGCTTTGATGATGCGTCAACCGAGAAAAAGAAGGCAGCAGCATTGCTACTTTTAAGACACCTTGGAAAACACAATGAGGCCCACGGGCCCACTTTGAGTGGTATGATAAAGTTTTATCAAATATGATAAAAAAACAAACAAGGAAAGGCAACGTCCAATGAATGCAACCCCCACACAACCAAGCAACAAGAACCAAGTAACAAAAAAGGACCCCCACCCCCAAAGAAAAACGGACAGGGCGCAAGGTAGAACACGGATAGGCTTACCACTTAAATGATGCATCAGACCAAATAATGGTAAACGACAAGGAAATCAAAGGAAACAAATAAATTTTTGATTTATTAAATAAATAAAACTAGAGGCAAAAGGGAAAATACTTACCGTAGACGAGAAAACAACAAGGGATGCCGACAAAAGTGTCACCAAAACAGTATGAAATAACAAAGACATGCATCTGAGGAACAAAGAGGGGCGCCGCCTTGGACCGGTCAGCAGCATAAGCACTGCTGGGGAGTTTAAACCGGTTAATAGTGCACCAAAAAACAGTCTTAGCCCACCATGTTCCTATTAACGAGACGGTGTAAATAAAGTGAATCCCCGGCAAGTAAATCTATAACAGTTGTTATGGTTTCAAAAGGTAAAATATGTAAACCACCGAGATGACTATGTAGATACATATAAAGGAATACCCATATGACCATTATAAAAGTACTCAATAATTTAAAGGAAGACAGAGTAACAAAAAAAATCACCTACAAGGGCCCGGCGAATCAAGGCAGAAGACGAACATTAAGGCAATTCAGTCCCAAAGGGCATTAAGAACTGTCCATCATAGAGTATCCCACTTGGTCCGTCAGATGTAATCAAAAGAGGAAAGGACCAACTGTTAAAGTGTTGAACACTATGCATGCGGTATATCTAAAAAAGTAGAGTCAAAACCTCTTTTGGTTAAACGTTTAATAAATTTAGTAAAGGCAACAATGACCAAAGATCTTGCGAAGTTTGTAAATAACATCTCCGTTAAATTCATTTTTGAATCACTACTGAATTTTGAGATTAAATCAAAGTTACGATTGTTAAATTTTGTAAAATATCCACGTAATTTATAAAAGCGGTAGCCCTGTTTGAGTAGCTTGCTAGTAATGAAAATATTTAGCTTGTTAAAATCCTTCACGTTGCTAAAAGCTCTAGCGAATCTATTTGACTGAGATACATATACCCCGTCAGATGTTGCATGCGGTACGTCTCCATCTAAATGATAGTTTACTATACCATAATCAAAGTCGTCACTTTTATCATAGATTTTTGTGTGAACAGAATTGTTTTTGATAGTAATATGAAGAGCCAAAATAAAGTTTAAACATAGTTTAATTAGCTCCCAATACTATCTGCAACTGAAATTTGCGCGGTTGGCCGTGGGTTGTATACCACCCGGAGGTGAAGGTCACTTGACGCCTTCGTAACCACGTACGAAGGCATCTTACTTAAAATACGACGTCGGGTACCTATCTTGTGACCTTCGCGTGTCCTGCTTGTAAACTACTTTGTACAAAATTGCATCTTTGAGGTGACTTCGTGTGTGTATCAGATGCGATCGCGTGACCTTCGGTAGGAATCGTGTGTGGCTCGGATGCGATCGCGTGACCTTCTATAGGAATCGTATTTGTTTCGGCTGTTGAGAGACTGTCGACCAATTTCGGGGCTATCTTCGTGCGAAATTAAAAATTTCATATTCGTATGCCCATCTGGTGTCAATTTCGGGACAGTGTGACGCCTGCATATCAATTTCGAGGTATTTTGTTCACGATAAACCTGTTTAACACTGATAAAAATAATTTAGCGAAAATCTTCTCGCCAAAACAGTCCGAGATGTATATATTCCACTACTCGGCAGTCAGATTTATTTGTATACTACGCCCTGGAGTATTCAGTAATCGACATAGCTAAAAATAGCATTTTCATTGATTAAAATGATATTCATCCGCGAAATTTGTGATTGTAACCTCATATTTCTATTGACTACTCTGAACTTTCAATGCACTGTAATTCGTTAAATGCCTACATTAAAAATTATTCTGTCTTTTAAATTGCTGGTTTTTAAGCAGTTTTGAGTAAGAACTACTTTGCGTTGTTAGGTCTGTTAGGAAATTTTGTGTTAGACCGTGGATGTTAGCTATGTATTTACTGATCTTGCGATCAGAAAATACAAAAATCAAATGATTTATTCACGAATGGTTAAATATAAGCTATTTTAATGTCATGTAATTTCATGGTGGTAAAAGTGTCTTTGTTATTGTAAAAAAAAATGTTAAAAAATATTGTTTTGTGGTCAAGTTCTTTATTTCTGAAGTTGGACAATCCCTAAACCTAATCATTTTTGTCCTGTAGGAGTGTAGTATTTCAAATAAATCGTAACACATCAGCAAACTGTTAATAAGTCTAGTAAATCGACTGTTTATAAAAATAATTTTAAACACTAAGCTGGTTAATGTTTATAAGTACGTATTTACAAAATTCAATTGGTCAGGCGCCGCGCAGCCTGACCCAGGGGCTCAAATAGTACGCCAAACCACCCCTATTGTAATATATATACAATGTATAATCGAGTTGAAAATGCGCACCTGACCATGAAAGACCTTATGTTGCTGTGTTGAGATGGATGCGATCTAATTAAAGATAGCCATGTTTTGTTTTTGTTTCGGTATTTAAGTCAGAAAACCATCAAATGATATGGCTTAAAGATGCAACCACACAAAAAAAATGAACAGATGAAATATGACAATGTTTATAGTAAGCTGCTTTCAATTTTAGACAGTTTTAAATGGGTTTGAGATATTTGGAATGATGACGAGATAAACTCTCTAAAGTACAGACATTCAGAAAAGTTTTTATTCTAATTAAAATTTGTATATTATTTCAGAGCAAGTTTCAAGCAATAATTAACATTTAATGTGCGATTAATGACTGATTTTGTTGCATTTATCACCATATTTTTACTGCTTGATTAACGCAGTAAAGGCTATTTTTGCACATTTTGATCTCTTTTAAATGGATATACTTTATTACATCCACCACGGTACTTGGGCGTAACTAAGCCATTAATTTAAACGATATTAGACACACTAGTGTGATAACACTTTGACTGGCGTGACGCCATTTGAGCTATACGCTTCACACTAATTAACAGTTATGCCCCTATCAAGCAGATCTAGTACATTCAAGTGCATTATTTTACACATTCTAACATGGTTCAAACTATTCTCCTTCAAATACAAATAGGACAATCAAGTGCATTATATCACGATATATGCACAGCATAATGAATGCTTAAAATGTAATATGACGTCAAATGTTTGTTTGTTTGTTTCATTTTACGCCTTTTCCCAACAGTATTTCAGTCATATAGGCGGGTAGTTTCCTTACTATCGTTCGTGGAGAGTTACACCAGTACTAGACTACCTTCCTCCGCGCTAAACTACCAAAGCATCTCCCGGGGGTCGAACCCACGCCAGAGAGGTAACTGGATTAGAAGTCATTGACTCTAACCCCTCGACCACGGAGGCGGTTATGACGTCAAATATGACGCCAATAGACCAAATTACGTCTATGCTTAATGTAAAGTGTAGTACCAATATTTCGACACCTTACGATAAATTTTCGTAACAAATTAACATTTTTTTATGTACAAATGTAATGTATGAGAGGTCTGTGGTTCGATCCCTAGTGCTGACATTGTTTTATACCTTCTCTTGTATTCACCGCTGAATTGAAGATTTGAAAAAATAAATGTTTTCATAGATTTTATTACGGTGGCTGATTTGGTACACTTTACGCGTTGCGTTTTCGATAGCGACAACACAACCTATATCGTATTCGCATTTTCGTCTTGTCGCTAGCGGTGCGTTGTATGTATATAAACAAATTATTGTGGCTGATTTTGTACGCTTTTGTGCGTCTAGTTGGCGCTAGCGACAACACGACAAAGCGACAAACGGCGCGTTGTCGCGCTGTCGTCTTGTCTCTAGCGCGGCACGCAAAGCGGCGCATTGTCGCGATGTCGCCCTGTCGGTTAGCTTATAAGCCAATCATTCGATTTGAACCGAGCGACAATGTGACATCGCGACAACACGCCGCACGTCAGCGTGCCGTTTGGCGTACATCGTTAGCAACAGGACGACAAGAGAAAAGTCCGACAACGCGTTCCAAATCAGCCACCATAATAAAGTACAGAAATATGCCATAAAGAACAAAACACAACAATTATTTTTTATAAGCACGCGTAATTAACAGTCCTTGATAAAGGGTCATTTTTAGACTGGGAAAATCCAAATCAGCCAGTGAATATGATACAACTACCAGTCAATATGATTTTATAAAATGTTCTGTTGACTACTGTTTGGAACATTGAGATTGCAGCTATTTTTAGATCATATAATAAAAGTCTGTATTAACTTAATGACCCGGGTGGGGTAAATATTAACACAAGGGTTATAATATGGATCAGTTTTGTGGAGGTCTACAAGGTAATGCTATATACCAAATATTTAAGCTATGGACATTGTAAATGAGTAAGTGTGACATTGACCTTGACATTGACCAACGACTCATTATGGTTAATATCTCTGCCAAGTAGTTTTAATTTCCTTCAACCGGTTCATAAGATACGGCCTGCTAACATACGGACAGACAACCAGGTGCATAACAACATACGCTGTAATTGTTTATGACGTATAAATGTCACAGGTTACTGTGAAAAAAATGGGAAAGTACCTGATTTTTATTTATATATATTTTTTAGCATCCTATCAAAGTTTCATCAAACAATATATTAGTGTATGTCACGCTTCGTTACTATAATTAACTGATATAATTTACAACAATATACACACTATGATATCGCCTTATGATTTATGGTGTAAAACTTTAAACATCATCTGTCTTATTAATTATTATTATATTCATGCTCGGAAATAATTTTCGCTGAGATTACTGTCGGGATTTACATTAATATTGCGCATGTTTTGTCGATGTTTAATGTTCTTTGTTAGAAAGAATGTTTACTTCCGTGATGTTTTATCTGTTTTCTGTATTCATTGTTTTCACCCACCAGAAAGCATGGATTTCTTCGGATTGTAGTATAGGTTCTAGTGATACTTTGACATGTAAAGAAAATATTCCTGTAGAGATACCTCTTGGCATCTCTAGGGTTGTTATATCTAATTATTTACGTACTAGTATTTCTAACATCACATTTTCACATGTAAGTTGGAGAAATGTGAAGGTTTTGGATATAAGCATAAACCCTGTTGTTGATTTTACAGTAGCCGGATTTAACTTTTATAGTTTAAATAATGTAAACGTGCTCGGTATTCATTCAAGGAGGTTTGAGGATATACATAGAGATGCGCTAAATGGACTGAACTCTTTACACACTTTGGATTTTTCAGATTGCTCATCTTTGGACACTACAGATCTCGTTGAGCCGCTTCTAGCGTATCCCCGTACACTGAAATTTCTCAAACTTGATCAGATTGGGGGACGCAGTGTCACAATTGATGGAAATTTTATTAATATGGTTGCAGTGAAAAAAATTTCTAAACTAAGTCTGTGCGGAATCAATATGTTCCCAGTGGGACCTCTCACTGCTACATACATAGAACCAACTTTAAAATACTTAGATATTTCAAATTCTACTATTCTACCTTCGAGGTCGTACAACTTTAATGATCGATATATATTGCTAACAAACATGTTAAGAAATATTGAAGTCTTGAATGTTTCCTCATTGCCGTATTCGTTTCTTGATTTAGATTTCACAGTTATAAGGAAGGTTAGTGGCAAAGATTGCCTGCAGATATTTAGTGAATCCAGATATAGATATATGAACAACTATTTATTTCCGAATATGAGTGTACTGGAAATTAACGATTTCTTAAAATATAAAATAGTTTTGAACAATTATGTCATTAACTTAACGTGTATTGGGCAGATGAATTTAAAGTATATATCTATGCGACAGAACAATCTTCAATGGATGAATATAAGTTTGTTTTTACCAACTGATTTTGCCGTCGAAGAAATGGATTTGTCCTTGAATAAAATACAATACATATCGCCGCAAATATTGAGTGGATTTTCTTATCTTCAAAGTTTGAATTTAGCATACAACAGTCTTGGATTTATGCAAAAATATGAAGAATTTAGCAAAATCTTTTCGGGGCATAGAAATCTCATTGTTTTAAATCTAGCATTTAATAGTTTAACGAATTTACCAGTAGATATGTTTATGAATAACAACAAACTTAGCCATTTGGATTTACATGGGAACAAGCTCATAACACTTAGTTTCAAGTTTCAACATTTGCACGGTCTTTCAATTCTTAACCTGAGTTTTAATGGCATAGTGGCATTGGATCCAGTCACTATAAAAGCATTTAATAGTTTCCGAAATGTTATCGAACGGATCGAAAATAAAACTGCTGTAATAAACTTAGATTTAATCGGAAATCCCTTTGTATGTGATTGTAAAACTGTAGGATTTATTGAATGGATATTTACAGATCTGATAGTGAACAAAACTCAACCTTACAGCTGTTATTATGAAGGGGAGTACCTTACTATCGACAAAAATATTATCGAAAAGTCGAAATTTTTATGCCATCGGACTCTCGTCATCACTTTCTCCGTGATTGTTGTCGCAATCATTGTAACATTAATTTCTGTATTTGTTACAAAAGCCCATTACAGATCCAAAGCAAAGAGGAGAAAACTTTCTAAAGAAAAGTTTATTGAAATGTTTTTGGGCGATGATTTCAATAAGAACCGTATATCCTTTATTGTTTATGCAAGCGATGATCTAGATGACCTGAATAAATCGTTCAGCCGCTGTTTAAACAACAATTTACAAAACGCTCTAAAGACTGACCGGAGACTGATTTCCAACGGCGACCTTGACATTGCTCCAGGATACCCTATCATAGACGAGGTACTACGATGTGTCACCAAGTCATGTACTTTGATAGCTTTAGCATCGAAGAAGTTCTGTGAAAGTGAGTGGTGTCAGATCGAACTGCGAGAGGCTTATAACTTAAATATTCCTATAATTTTGTTGTTTAAGGAAGATGTCGAGGAAAGTTTGATGTCACCGACAATGCTGGCAGTGTTTAAAAAATTTGCTAGAGCGAAACTTATTGCAAAAGATGACACATTTGAAACAGTTCCTGAATGGAACCAATTTGTAGAGTCTGTTATTAACTTAGCAATTGAGGGTACTGGACTTATGTAGAAATTAAACATATCTTAACTCTTCACTTTATATTTGTATAAAATGATTTTTATTCGAGATTTGAAAGGCTTAATATCGATAATCACGTAAGGTGGTTTCTAACAGAAAATATATTATCAAAGTTATAAAAGTCAATGTTTTATTAAATGTTGTTCAGTATCTTTAAATTTGACTTGTATACAGTACGTGTAATGTTAGTTCAATCTGCTGAAAAATTCAAAAACCAGTACTGCTGTGAAATAAAATGTAATACTGGTTAATACACCAACGCTTTCAAAAAGTAAACGTAATTTAAAAGATATACTATGCTCAAATTTGATATTAGAAAATATTGATAATTGCTACACCGTCTCTTTGTGAAGCACGTATTTTTTTTATTCGTATTCTTATTTAAACTTATTTACTAGTCGTAACAAAATATCATTGTGTAAATACAAAAACTATTGATTGTATAAAGATATATTAAAGTGTATAAAACTATATCTTATGAAACATTTTTTATAAAAATAATCAACAATAAAATCATAATGTTTCCAAACTTTTATGGTTGATTCTTGAAATAGTTGAAACATACAATGTCTCTGTTATTTTACACACGTGTATAGTGTTATATTGTACGTAATCAGAATTAAATATATATTTATTTATTTATTCTTTATTATAGTCTCATCTATACACATATATACATATAAAACATTTAAAACATTTAATTTGTATATAGCCATTCTCGAAAGAAGTCTGACTTGTTATAGCTAATACTAAGAGGGATAACTCCACATATTGTAGATTTACCTCCCTTATTTATGTATATTCACATTCTCAACATTTTCATCATATAAATCAATTGCAATAGGATGACATAATTGCACATTGTCATTATTAAAAAGTTATTTGAGATATTTAATTACAAAATTATAATAGACTTTTTACATTCTAAAAGTTTGATAACCTCTACTGACCTTGTCTTAAAAACTGCCATAAGAAATTATACTGTAAAATACTAAATTTTGTAATAAAAGCACTATCACGCAATATAAAAAATGGTTTTACAAAATCATTTGTCACTCATGTTTAGACAATGGATGAACTGTTCAGTAGTGATTATCAAAACATAGGGATAAAACAACTTATTTATGTAATTAAAATATATCATATTCTATATTAAAATTTCTATGTGTTTAAAATTATATTAACTGTTCACTCCAGGCAGGAGGTGAGATACAGACATTACATCACATTATTGTTTATGAATTAAGAAAATTTAATGTTCTAAAGACTAACACTTATTTAAAAAAAAATAAAAATTAAATTGTCAGTGAAACAAACATACTTAAACTGTCAGTGAGATACAGACATTACATCACATTATTGTTTATGAATTAAGAAAATTTAATGTTCTAAAGACTAACACTTATTTAAAAAAAAATAAAAATTAAATTGTCAGTGAAACAAACATACTTAAACTGTCAGTATCTATATATACCCCATCTCCTACATAGAATGAGATGATATAACTTTGCTTTACACTATTTACGCTACTAATACTTATAATAAAAAGGATATATGACTAATCCTGAAATGTAGTCTGTTAAACTATTTATATAAATGATTGTTTCTGGCTTTTAATATCAAAAAGCACGTTTTGGAACTTACTTTTAACATATGTTCATTTGAGAGTACAAAGCTTAATTTATCCTGATCACTTCAATTGTTAAATGAGGCACCAATCTCAATAGCTTTATTAACATGCAGTATCATTTCTGAGACTCTGATACAATGGGCAATGAAATAAAACATGAACTTCATTTTCCACTGCTAGTTCACAAATCGGACATAGACGCTGTTCTTCTGGGATATTTTCATATCTCCCCGTTTCTAAACGGGGGGGGGGGGCAACTCCACATCTAAACTTAGCTAACGCAGACTTGTATTTACTAGACATAGTTGAACATTCAACATACTTTTCAGTTTCATAAACAGATTTAAACTGCGTATAAGTCCTAAGTTTATTTCTACCTCTACCAGAGGGACCCGTGACATTTTAAATACTGGTTCTCCAATCATGAATGAAAGTATCCATGGTGCACTTACTTATCTTATCACAAAAATATTTGGAAGACATGTTAATACAATCGTTTGACATATTTAATAAATTGTTTGACAATAGATGTTTCTTAATTAAATGTTTTAACACAAATTTTAAGTAGGGTTTTATCCGTTTAGCAATGATTCCGCGCATGCGCCATTCGCTTTTAAGGCATTCTACTAACCTATGCTTAATATATTCTTTTATTTTAATTCAAACAATAGCCTTTGCAGAAGATATATAGCTTTATACCCTTAATACATTTCCTACAAAACAACTTTTTTCAGCACGCTTGTAAACAGTTAGACGTTTTGTAGAAGTGATATAGTTGGTCCAGTTGGCATGAACCTTTCATACGGAAATTTCGACGAGAGTAATTCAAATGTCAGTCACTTTTCTTTTCTGAACATAAGTTGCAAGATTGGGTAAGGCCAATATAAGTTGTCTATGTGCTTGAAGCTTGGGGCTTGAAGCTTGTATCTGTCTGCGAGGTCGGCCAATGTTAGCTGGAAAAAAAACAGTAATGTAAAATCTTACACTGGCATATTAATATAGAAAACTTAATTTTTAATAAGGGAATGTGAGTGGACGGGGGCGGATTATTTAAACACAATTAATGAGATGACTTGCGAGGAAGGAGGGCGCTGATGTATGGCATAGCTGATAAAGACACTGTCTTTTACACTGACTCATTCGGGTTCAAATCCTTCAATAACCAAAGATATATTTTATGAAAGCCGAATGGTTGTTTATATGTGACAAATACACAAAAAGTCTCAGTCACGTGAACTTCTCCATCAGTTTAAATGTTTCCGTGTGATGACAAAATGTTTAATAGCTGTTGTTTTATGCAACAATTAAAATATGTAAAATCGTTATTTATTTCATGCTTTCCAGTGTTTAATTGTAATATATCAGATGATTATATTCTGATAAACCACTAGTGAAATTTATAAAATATAATTTTCACTGTAGCCGGACTATATCTGAATGCGGATGAAAAGAAAATCATAACTAAATGGAATAACAGGCAGAAATAAATGCCGTCATGCGTAAATTTTGCTTCTTTAGGAAAAGAAAGTCGATGTCATCATACATCATGTTAAAATATTACAAAATTAGAGAAATTTAACAGCACTATATTTCAAAATTGATTATGTGACGTCATGATGTGATGACGTCACAAAGGAGAATGCGCGACGTTACGCGGCAAAATCAGTAAGAATTACTAAAAATCACTTAAAACGCATGAAATAAAAAGAAAATTTATTTGTTTTACATGTAAGATTGAAACAATTTCATTTGTGAACACCAGCTATTATATTTTCACTCGTGGCTACGCCACTCGTGAAAATATTGCATCTGGTGTTCACTCAGTGAAATTATATTTCAATCTTGCATGCAAAACAAACAAATATCCTCTATTTATTTCATGCTTTCCAGTGTTTTATTGTAATATATCAGATGATTATATTCTGATAAACCACTAGTGAAATTTATAAAATATAATTTTCACTGTAGCCGGACTATATCTGAATGCGGATGAAAAAAAAATCATAACTAAATGGAATAACAGGCAGAAATAAATGCCGTCATGCGTAAATTTTGCTTCTTTAGGAAAAGAAAGTCGATGTCATCATACATCATGTTAAAATGTTACAAAATTAGAGAAATTTTGCAGAACTATATTTCAAAATTGATTATGTGACGTCATGATGTGATGACGTCACAAAGGAGAATGCGCGACGTTACGCGGCAAAATCAGTAAGAATTACTTAAAATCACTTAAAACGCATGAAATAAAAAGAAAATTTATTTGTTTTACATATAAATATCATTATTTTAGTAAAGAAAGTTCCTGGAAAAGTGAAAGATTGGGATGGGATACAGTAATAAGAAATTTCAGATAAACTAGTCCTAAAATATATCAGGCAAAATAACATTAAAATGACATCCATGTCGTGGTGATCAATAGAGTCAGGTTAGATTTCCTGCTGCATGTGACTTTCTAACAATAATATGTTGCTCAGGAATTTATTCCTTTTGATAAAAGCTGTATGTCATATCGTCAGAGAAAGACATGTATGAATTGACTCCACTTCATACAATGTAATGAGCATTTTGAAAGAACCCACAGAACTTCGGATACAACACGTCCTCCAATTTTTCAGTAAATCTTTCTGCAATTAAATTCTAGTGAATATCAATAAGAGGTCCATGTCTATACTTAGCTACATGTAAACGAGGTGCGTATAATTAATAAATTTGACTGTTTAAATACATATTACTATTTCTTTACAGTTTTCTCAATACATTGTCAACATAGGCCCTATATCCTAACTTCGACACCGCAATGTACAGTATTCAACTTCTTCGAGCGCTTTTCAAATTTATACACAGAACTTTAGTCTAAGATAGTATAAGCTTTGTACAATGAAGGTCCGTTTTTCGACATGGTGGCCCTAAATTCGACATTGTTACTTAAAGTCGATCAAAATATCAGTTAAAAAGCATGATTTTGAGATTTCATGATGTTTGTAAAAAGGGGTGTCGGATTAATGTGTATGTTGAATTAAGGTGTTATTGTGCTATTTCAACATATTTTTTTATTAATTTTCTTTTTATTAGCACGTTAGAATGGTGATATATATTATGTTTCATGCAAAATAGTATAATAATGCACAAGTTATTTTTCAAATGCTTGGTTACTTAAGGCCAACATGTATATTCCTTCGTGATTATATTCCTACGCATTTGGACTTGAACCTTGCATTATTCTACAACAATGCACTCAAAACTGATTTCTATTTCCTTATTCTAACACTCTTTACACTAAGAACTCTTGATTGTTCAAACAGATAGGACAATCAACGGCATTATTGGACAGCTTACACGACATATGACGTCAGATTACGGCAATAAATAATATGACGTCAGGAAAGTTACTTCTACGCTAAAAGTAGTTCAACATAGTTATTTCTCCCGTTCAAATGCTTATAATAACGGACGCTTATATTTTTGTTATGAACCTATTACACCATATGAAATTAAAACATATATTGATAAATTAGATGTGCATAACTCAACTGATTTGAACGGCATTGGTTAAAAAAATACGTTACTGTGGTGACCACATCACTACATTTATTGCGTTTATGATTAACAGTTTTATAGATACTGGTTTATTCCCTTACTCTCTCAAAGAACCCTAGCTAAATTATGTTCTACCGATATTATTTAGGTTAGGGCTTTCGTGCTTTTATGTGCAAAGAAGACCCTCCAAAGTTGTACAAAAACGAATCGCTGCGGAATCAGAAAACTGGTATTTTAACGGTTGGATATAGAATATGGTGTATTTTACGAAAATTTATATAGACAATGAACAAATCGCATGTTCAAAGAATGGTCATGCCACGCGGAAATCTTCTGGCAATATTGTTTCGGTTAGGGCTTTGGTGCT